TCCCCAAGTTCCCCCCATTCTCCCCTTCTTACTTTTCTCTCCCCATCTCCCCTTTCCCCCGTGCCACCCCACCCCCAAGTTCCTAATTTTTTGCCTGGCAATCTTGTCTACTTCTTATACCCAGGATAACAACTATTTGTTTTTCTTTGGGTTCACCTTCTTATTTAGCTTCTTTAGGATCACAGATTATAGACTCAATGACCATTATTTGTGGCTAGAAACCAATTATGAGTGAGTACATCCCATGTTCCTCTTTTTGGGTCTGGGATACCTCACTCAGGATAGTGTTTTCTATTTCCATCCATTTGCATGCAAAATTCGAGAAGTCATTGTTTTTTACCGCTGAGTAGTACTCTAATGTGTAGATATTCCACACTTTCTTCATCCATTCTTCCATTGAAGGACATCTAGGTTGTTTCCAGGTTCTGGCTATAACAAATAAGGCTGCTATGAACATAGTTGAACAAATGCTCTTGTCATATGATAGGGTATCTCTTGGGTATATTCCCAAGAGTGGTATTGCTGGGTCCAGGGGTAGGTTGATCCCGAATTTCCTGAGAAACCGCCCCACTGATTTCCAAAGTGGTTGCACAAGTTTGCATTCCCACCAGCAATGGATGAGGGTACCCCTTCCTCCACAACCTCTCCAGCAAAGGCTATCATTGATGTTTTTGATTTTAGCCATTCTGACAGGTGTAAGATGATATCTCAAAGTTGTTTTTGATTTGCATTTCCCTGATTGCTAAGGAGGTAGAGCATGATCTTAAGTGTCTTTTGGCCATTTGAACTTCTTCTGTTGAGAATTCTCTGTTCAGTTCCGTGCCCCATTTTTTAATTGGGTTAATTAGCATTTTAAAGTCTAGTTTCTTGAGTTCTTTATGTATTTTGGAGATCAGACCTTTATCTGTTGCAGGGCTGGTGACGATCTTCTCCCAGTCAGTAGGTTTTCTTTTTGTCTTAGTGACAGTCCCTTGCTCTTGGATTGGGAGGATCAACATAGTAAAAATGGCAATTCTACCAAAGGCAATTTATAGATTCAATGCAATCCCCATCATGGTCCCATCAAAATTCTTCATAGATCTTGAGAGGACAATAATCAACTTTATATGGAAAAACAAAAAACCCAGGATAGCCAAAACAATCTTATACAAAAAAGGAACTTCTGGAGGCATTACCATCCCTGACTTCAAACTCTATTACAGAGCTACAGTAATGAAAACAGTGTGGTATTGGCATAAAAACAGAGAAGTCGACCAATGGAATCATATAGAAGACCCGGATTTTAACCCACAAACCTATGAACACCTCATTTTTGATAAAGGAGCTAAAAGCATACAATGGAAGAAAGAAAGCATCTTCAACAAATGATGCTGGCACAACTGGATGTCAACCTGTATAAGAATGAAAATAGACCCATATCTATCACCATGCGCAAAACTCAAGTCCAAATGGATCAAAGACCTCAATATCAATCTGAACACACTGAACCTGATAGAAGAGAAAGTGGGAAGTACCCTACAACAGATGGGCACAAGAGATCGCTTCCTATGTATAACCCCAGCAGCACAGACATTAAGGGAAACATTGAATAAATGGGACCTCCTGAAACTGAGAAGCTTCTGTAAAGCAAAGGACACTGTCATTCGTGTGTCTTGAATGCATAACACACACAGATTTTCTTCATCATCATCGTTATCCTACAAGTACTTGCAGTTCTGTGATCAGCCACTGGGTGGCAGGAGTGCCATAGAAGCTTTGAGTAGAGCCTGGGTGGAATTGAACATTGTGAGCATGTAGACCTTCATATAGTTCCCTGTTTCCACGTGATCCATGCCAGGAAAACCTGATACAGTGTGATATATAGAAACAAGGTACAACTGGAATAGTGAAATCTCAAAAATAAGCCTCTTTAAAGGCGAGCTGTAACGGTCCTGTTGGGTATTGTAAATACCTGAGGTGCACTCGATACGGCTGCTGTGGTACTGGCATTCAGGTCTTCTCTTTTTTTATGGAAAGATGGATTGAACTTCAATTTAAGAATATCCAGTAATCCCTCTCAGGACATACTGTAACAGCTGGTATTTTTGTGTTGTAGTAAATCGGCTCCATACGACAGTCAGTAATAATTACGGCTGTGTTCTGATGAATTCCAAAGCATTTTCAATCAATTTAGCCAAAGAAAACAACATTATTACACAAGAATTTAACCCAATTTTAAAGTTAAATCCAGCGACACTATTTTATTCCACAAAATGCTGAGCGTTTTTCTAGTTAGGGTTCTTTAAAACTTTTTTTTAAAAAACGCATAATTGTAGGACGATTGTGTTGTATAATATATACTTAGAAGACTATCACTTTGTGATAAATGCACAGCATTGGACAAGTTTAACTTTGACTGTTTGTTACGAAAATCCAAGAAATGCTAAGTCCTTTCGTGTGTGGTAACACTGGATTAAAAAGATGTTTTGAAGTGGGATATCAGGTTTTTGTCAATATTTCTGGAATGGGAATGTACCACATTCTATAAAATTTTTTTTGTTTAGTTTTAGGTTTTTTTCATTCTATAAAATTTTACTTTTTTGATAAAAGTATTAATTAGGTTATGTGACATATGCAGTTCATACATGTGAAACACTGAATTCTTCAGGTTGCATCGTGTAGAAAGTATAGACTGTGTATTTCTGTGTGTGTGGTTACTGACAGCCTGTGCCGTGCAAATTCTGACTTTTTGTGGCCTAAAGAGCAAACTTATATATGTACAGGCACATGGCAAGCACTGTATCTGCTTACATCATAAAGCCCTGTTGCTAGAAATATGTATGCATACACTTTATACATTTTAAATAGTTCTCTCTCTCTCTCTCTCTCTCTCTCTCTTTCTTTCTGTTAACAATGTATTCTTTTTATCAGTGGTTTTTCTGGAGTTCTTTTTGGACTTGAATAACTTCATCTGTCCCCTTATATAAGGAATATTTTTATGTAGTTAAATCTTGATCCTGGTTATAATAATTTATGAGACCAAAGCAAAGTTTCCTTTTAAGAGTTTTGGAGAGAAGGCAGTATGGGAGCTGGGCAGGAGTGAAGCCTGACTTGCCCTCTCTGCTATTTTAAAATTTAGCTCAGTGAGTTACATTTTCACTTGGAATTTAAATACCTACTGCTGTATGGGTGTGTAGTATGTGTGTTCTCTGTTTGCCTTTAGTGTAATGTAAAGCAGATGGTAAGACATTACAGCAGATAGTCAAGTCCAAGAAAATCTGTTTGATCGTGGACTTTTTCAAATATCAGTTTTCACTGTGACAAGTAAAATGCTAATTTGGAAGGCTTTACTGGAATTTAGCTGTTGTATTTTTCTCAAGTAAAAGCTGGCAAGCTTGTTTGTCGTGACTCTGTAATATGAATCAGCAACTTAGAAGTTTTAGGAATCAAAGTGAATAGTTTCCAGTGTTTGCACCGTCTGCTTTCCTTGTTGTCTTTAAGATATGGTAGAATATACTTTGGAATGACTGAATTTTCTATATGGAGGACTGGGAGGGGGAATGCACTAAAATGTATTATATAGTTATGATTTCAACAAAAGTGTAAATGATATGTGCTTTCCGTTGTTGTCTGCAGTCATCCAAATGTGAAACACATGATGGACTCTTTCTTAAGTTTTAGGTTGGATGGGTTATAGTCTCGCTGCTTTCTTTTATGCTTTAATTTTATAATTCTATTACCTGAATTAAAGAAACAAACTATCACAAACCAGCTTTTACTGTTTGTTTACTCAGTGCAAGGCATTGTTGCTTGTCTTGGCATATTTAATTATTATGCGGTTCTAAGTTATTATCTTTATTTGCACATATGGAAATAAGGTGTAATAAGATTAAATAAGTTATTGACGACCATAGAGCCAGCAGGATTAGAGGTGAAGCCAGAGTTAACCTTGTACAGCTTTTTCACTGTGTCCCGCTTCCTGATTATTTTTCACTATGTCCCGTTTCCTGATTATTTTGAGATAAACTTGTACAGCTTTTTCACTATGTCCCGTTTCCTGATTATTTTGAGATAAACTTATGCCAGTATCCAAAGCAATGTATTTTCCAGGATATATCCAGTCTAACTTTAACTAAAAGGTTTAGCTGGTATTGCTAGCCCTTCTGTGGATCTGTATCATTGCTCTCCTAGCTAAGTAAGTCTGTGAGTATCTGCTTGGCCGGCAGTAGAGAACTTTGCAGCTGTTGGACTATTAAATCCATGGAAACACAGAGTTGTAGTTGCTGGTAACTCAGATAGTCTTTGTTACACACTGGGAAATGTAGCTAGAATTAAGGTAAGAGAGAGGAAGTAGTTGTACAGAGTCTTCTGAAAGGTCACAGTGCCATCAGCAGCCCCTGAAGCAAATGTCAGAATTTTTCGGAAGCTTTGACACTTGCAGTGGCAGTATCTTTACAGTTCAAAATCACATCAAAATCAGAAACTCCCCTGGTAAATATCAGCCTGTTATTGCAGAAAAAGTCCATAGAAGAATTATGATCTCTCTGGTATTGTTGTAATGAGACTGCTTGTTGGTTCCCGGTTGCTCAGCCCTGAGATAATCACATAGAAACTGTATTATTTAAATCACTGCTTGGCCCATTAGCTCTAGCTTCTTATTGGCTAACTCTTATATCTTAATTTAACCCATTTCTAGTTATCTGTGTATCGCCACAAGGTCATGGCCTACCAGCAAAGTTTCAGCACATCCGTCTCTGGCAGAGGCTCTATGGCTTCTCTCCGACTCTGCCATTCTTTCTCCCAGCATTCAGTTTAGTTTTCCCTGCCTAACTAAGTTATGCCCTGTTGTAGGTCCAAAGCAGTTTCCTTATTCATTAATGGTAATCACAGCACACAAAGGGGAATCCCACATCACTGGTATATTGTCCAATACAAGTTTTATAGAATTAGTTATGTGATGTTTGATTTAGTGATATTTGGGTTTTTATGTGTATAAATGTTTAATTTTTTTTTCTTCCAAGGGACTAGTGAGACAGTCGGCTCTTTCGTGAAGGACGGCTGCAGGTCATTGAATTTTCTGGAACTTCCCAAGGCAAGAGAGTGGAGAGCAGCCACACACCTTTAGCCTGCAGCATGCCAGCACTGTCAACTGGATCTGCTGGAGAAATGGGTATGAGAACCCAAGGGGACAATTTTCCCTACATTCTTACTTATTAGTGTTGTTCCCACTGACTGTGGCCTTGTTGGCGCAAATAAATCATATTTCTTTCTCTATGACCTACATGAGAGGCATAAAATAAGTCCTAACAAACTCTGGATTAGACAGAAATATTGTGGGATATTCAGGGTGCTTCCTTCACCAGGTGGTGGTGGTGACACATGCCTATACCCTGTCTTGCTTTTGGAACAACACCGTGCATTTAATTGCTTAAAATGAAGTATTTGAGAATTCCCAGTGTTCTGGCAAATACTGGTGATTCCCACCTACACTGCCGTCCCTCACATTTAACAGAAGGCATGAAATGTTTGCCATACTTGCTTCGGACCTCTTGCTTCCTATTTTGTTTCTCTGCCTTCATTCTCTCTCTCTTTCTCTCTCTCCTTCTTTATAGTTTTTACAAATACTGTTTATTTTAATGAAGATGGTACAGACGATGTCCCTTGAATACCCATGTCCGAGGCCAAAAAGTACAAACAGAATCAAAACGAGCAATGTCTGTTGCGTATACTTCTGCAAGAGTAACTTTCCTACTAACTGCTGATGGAAATTACAGCTTTCCTGGGATCTTCAGGCAGCCTGCCATACTCTTCTCTCCGGTGAAGCCATCCTGGAATTAGCTGTCACTCTCACTGTATCTGTCATCTTGACTACAAACGTGATGCTCTTCTTTTGGTCCAGACCCTCAGATTTTAAAAGTAGCTTCAAGCTGAGGAAAGGTCATTTTCCCACAGTTCAGGTCTCTGAAGACCTTCCATCTCCCACTGAAAACCACAGTCCAGGAATGAAGCAACTGCATGCTGGAATTTCAGGGCCAATTGGAAAGTCACAGGAAAGCTCCCATTGGTCAATCTTTTTTATCATCACAAATCTGAAAATGCACAGTCTTGAAATGGGTGGCCTCTCTGTGCACATATGAAATTTTTTAAAATAAGAAGGGCAATATTAAGGGAGCTGAGGTCTAATCACCAAAAATCAACATAGCAAAAACAACCAATAGTGAATATTGAACGCTTAGAGTTCAGATTACCAGATTTTCTAAAGAGATGGAGTGCCAGTATTTAGTTTTCATTTTGAATACCACATTACAAAAGAACTGTTTTTAAAAATAAAAAAGGATTGAGGGAAAAGGGGGAAAAGAAAAGAATTATCTAAACCCTGAAATAACCTCCGTTTGCTCCTGATAAGCTTCTGTCCCATCTTCTTCCTCCTCCATTCCCAGTTCTTTTGGAGTATGATTATCAGCAATTCCCTGACAATCAAAGAGGAAGATGAGTGAATTTACTGGAGCTCCCTGTCTTTGACAGTGAGATGTGTTGTCATTTTCATATTGAAATGTATCTCACTACTATCCTGTCCAATAACTTTGAGTTTAATGTATTCTCCTTTCTTCTTATCCCCTAATTTTTCAGTTGAAGGTTTTACCTCTTTTTCAGACATGGTGATGGTGGCTTCATCAAGGGGTCTCCGAGGTACCATAGGGGCCTCTGGCAGGCAGAACCTCACTTTGAGGTTTACAAACCTGTCTCTTCCCACAGCACAACACCACAGCTGCAGTGACTTCTGCTATGGCTTGCCTGCTTTTATTCTCTTACTCTATCACCAGAGTAAGACATAAAACACATCACATATATAAAAACATCTCCTTTCTGGTCCAGTTTAGCAGTTAGCTTTCTTGCTATCAGCACTGCTCGAATATGGATTTCTGGGTGTGTTTTAGAACTGTTCAAAATAAGGGGGAGGGACTAGGGCTGAAATCACTAGAGTGTATGTTTTAATGTACGTGAGCACTGGATTTAATTTTCAACACAAAAGAGACAAAAAAAGAATGATGCGGGTGGGAAATAGGTTGTGCAAACATTTACTTTGGGTTTGTTTTGATTTGTTTGAGACAGGGTTTTGCTTTGTGTATCCTAGAATAGCCTTTAAACTCACAGTCTTCCTGCCTCAGCCTCGTGAGGTCAATGAACATTGTGAACGACACCATGCCCAGGCTGTGCCTGGAAGTTTTAAGACTCCTTTAAAGAAGTGGCAACATAACGGAGCTGGAAACAGTGTCCCGTATGCCACTGAGGTCACGGAGTCCTGATCTCAGGGACATTTCCACCCCACCCATTCCAGTCACGGGCACCACATTTACCCTGTCCAGTTGCTGTTCTGCCAGATGTCATTGTTTTCACTCTGCAAGAGCAGTCTGGCTTGTCTCTGTCCGTCTGCAGCCATTTCCCCTCCTAGTGACTTAGACTGTGGACTATTGTTTGTTGGAAGTTTTACTTTTTGTTAAATTCTGTTAAACTAGTTTCTTTTTTTAATCCCCCAGGATGTTAATTTGCAAGTCAACTCCTTTAAATATTTTCTTTTTAGTTTTTATTTAGTTCTGTGTTTTGTTGAACTATGTAAAATGAATAATTGAACTTTTTGTGGTGACAGGGTAATTATAGCTAAAATTTTTCTAGCCATCAATGCATTGCGGTTGTGCAGTATATTTTATGCTTCACTATTCACCAAGATTGTGTTACCTTAATTGATAGCAAAGTATTGCTAATGAGGTTTAGCTCACAGGCTGGTGAGAATAAGCGTTTATAACTGAGCGCCGTCATTCACAGAAAATAGCATAGACAATATGGAATTTATAAAGAGCTTTTCCACATATCTGTGTCACTTAGAGCACAAATGTCCTGGCTGTGACACCTGCTTTCTCGTGCTTTCGAACCCGTGTGCCTGAAGATTTGAGTTAGGTGTAGAAGACATGACTGTTCCCAGGTCAGTGCATGCACAGATGCCACAATGGGCTGTGTGCATTGTATGTTTACTGTTCCTGGGTAGATCTCCTGTACTGGTGTAGTTGAAGTACTCATGTCATATTGCTTAGCAACATTGTTGATATTATCTTGCCATTGAGTCTCCAAGAGAATAAAGTTAGAGTTTTACAAATGGCCATGGGCCCAATCACAGAAGAAAGGCATCTGACTTTAGTGTCTGTACTTGTTATAGTCACTTGGGAAAATGCCATGTGCATTTGTGGTTTCCAGATGTGTGTTTTGGTGTGTGCACTTATGCACATACGGAGGCCAGAGAAAGATGTAGGCTGCCTCGGTGTCCTGTTCCTTTGAGTAGGGTCTCTCACCAAACATGGGGCTAGGCTGTGGGTAGCCAGCAAGCAAGCCTTATTCATCCTCTTGTCTCCTTTCCACATTCATGCACTCACATGTATGCACTACACACACACTCACACATGAACCACATCTGGCTTTTTATGTGGGTGCTAGGAATTCAAACTCAGGTTTTTGTGCTTACACAGAAAGCACTTTTACTCTCTGACCTATTTCCTCAGCCTCCACAAATGCTTTTTAATGAAACAATCTTAGCATTCATCTATCTTCCTCTTTCTGCTTATTTAATGAAGAAAAGAAAATGCATTTTGTAAGTACACCATGAAAAGAGTCTCGTCTCCTCAGTCTCACTTCTCTCGCCTTGGTAGGTATTCTTCATGAGCTGCGTGTGCTCAGTGTTCTCATAGTTCAGATGTACCTCAGTTGTAGAGCGCATGGTTAGCTTGTGTAAGGCCCAGGGTTTGATCAGTGGCACAAGAAAAACATATGTTTGACTCTTATTAAAACAAACAGTCCAAACCTCACAGATTTTATTATATGCCACAGATTGTATTATTCTGTTTCTTTCCTCTTGCAGTGCTTGGGACTAGAACCCTGTGTATACTAGGCAGGTACTCTGCCTCTGAGCTACATCCCCAGCCCTGTTCTGTAACCATGTAGAGCAAATGCTGTTTGCAGGGAGTATATGAATGTATACAGTGTGTCATGCATGTTTATTCACATATCTGCCGACATAGCTGCATTGTCTGTAGACTCATGCTCTTTCATGTGACTCACAATGTCATGATCCACATGCTGTAAGCATGCATGACGCAAAGTGCTGATTTTTGCTCCTGTTGTAAATATTTGGGCAGGAAAGATGCATACATATAATAATGTTATAAAATTAATTTGCAGACTTGTTAAGCCAGTTAGTCATGTATGGAGTGCATTAGAGATTCCAGCCATTCTTGCCAGTGTTCAGTGCTGTTAATCTTTGTAGTTGCTGCCATCTGATGGGGTACAAAGTGTTAAAGGTGGGCTATTCCTTCTGTGAAACATATTTCCATTGTTTAATATACTTTCCTGTCTGGGACATGTCTATTCAAGCCTGTTTTCAACCATTGTGCTGTCTTACATTGTTCTAATTGACTTGCAGAATTTCTTATCCTGTATTTTATATATTAATTCTTTGTGCCATTTATTTTTAAACCTCCCCCTCAAATAGTCCCAATTCATTTAGAGAGTCGAAAATCAGGTAAGCACATCTTGGTTATTGCTTTACCCCCTTCAACTTAAGTATGTCTCCCCTTGCCCTAGACCATATATATTCTCTAAGATTTCTTTTAATAAATTTAAAGATTGGTTTTTACACATGAAATTTTAACCTGACTGCAGTTTGAATGCAGAGTGAGGCAGAGAGATAACCTTCTTTTCTCACATAGATTGTCAACCATCTTAGAATTAATGACCCTATATTCTATTCTTTCCACATAAGTTTGTTGTTTTTCCTTTACCATATATGAGTACCATGCATATTCTTGGTTCTCTTTCTGGTTTATAACGACCTGTTGATTTCATCTTAAAATTTTTAATAATCCAATTTTTATTTTAAGTTTAGAATTACAAAGGTTGTGTAGAAGGTTGCAGTGTACCACACACCCAGCTTCTCCTGTTCTTAGCCTTCTGCATTCATTCATGTGCCAAACTCCTTTTGATTGATGAACTGATACATATACACTGACTCCAACCAAAATCCACTCCTGTTTCCTTAGTTCCCACCTCATGGCCCCTCTCCCTTTGGTTCCAGGCTGTCATTTAGAGCAGCTACACAAGTTTGTGACTTGTTAGGCTGCTCTA